CTCTCTCTCTCTCTCTCTCTCTCTCTCTCTCTCTCTCTCTCTCTCTCTCTCCTCTCTCTCTCTCTCTCTCTCTCTCTCTCTCTCTCTCTCTCTCTCTCTCTCTCTCTCTCTCTCTCTCTCTCTCTCTCTCTCTCTCTCTCTCTCTCTCTCTCTCTCTCTCTCTCTCTCCTCTCTCTCTCTCTCTCTCTCTCTCTCTCTCTCTCTCTCTCTCTCTCTCTCTCTCTCTCTCTCTCTCTCTCTCTCTCTCTCTCTCTCTCTCTCTCTCTCTCTCTCTATCTATCTCTATCTCTCTCTCTCTCTCTCTATCTCTATCTCTATCTCTATCTCTATCTCTATCTCTATCTCTCTCTCTCTCTCTCTCTCTCTCTCTCTCTCTCTCTCTCTCTCTCTCTCTCTCTCTCTCTCTCTCTCTCTCTCTCTCTCTCTCTCTCTCTCTCTCTCTCTCTCTCTCTCTCTCTCTCTCTCTCTCTCTCTCTCTCTCTCTCTCTCTCTCTCTCTCTCCCCCCCCCTCTCCCCCCTCTCCCCCCTCCCCCCCGGCGCTTTGTTTATATGGAGCATTAACCGAGGAAGATTGACTGGGCACTAATCCTTTACTGTAGGCCCCTCTTCACCCGGTAGTAATTGGGTACCTGGTTCTTAACAGATTGGCGGGTCGTGTTCTAGGGGTAAATTGGAGAGTGTCTGTAGTTTACCAGAGCTATGGGAAGATGGCCAGGTTTACCAGAGCTATGGGAAGATGGCCAGGTTTACCAGAGCTATGGGAAGATGGCCAGGTTTACCAGAGCTATGGGAAGATGGCCAGGTTTACCAGAGCTATGGGAAGATGGCCAGGTTTACCAGAGCTATGGGAAGATGGCCAGGTTTACCAGAGCTATGGGAAGATGGCCAGGTTTACCAGAGCTATGGGAAGATGGCCAGGTTTACCAGAGCTATGGGAAGATGGCCAGGTTTACCAGAGCTATGGGAAGATGAAACTCATTCGATAAACAGGAGTCAAAAGTAGTTTGTTCCTGTACTCGTCTGTTCCAGCCCCCCCCCCCCCCCCCAAAAAAAAACAGTTGGTTGATGGGGGGGGTGGGGTGGAGGAGGAGGAGGGGAGGAGCTGATACCTAAATAGCAAGGTCGTATGGGTGATAAAGTTGCTAGGTTACATAATACTGTACCATGGGGGGGGGGTTGCAACATTTAGCAACAGTGGTTCACACCGTAGGCGTGGGTTCTGTATTATCCTATATTATATATTCATAATATGTATTATTTTTTATATACTTGCAGCAGGGTTTTCATTTAGACATGTTATATTGAATATGACCGCATATACCTGGAGAGGATGCTGGTATATTGTGGTATACTGTGTTGATGTTGACCAGACCACACACTAGAAGGTGAAGGGACGACGACGTTTCGGTCCGTCCTGGACCATTCTCAAGTCGATTGTGAGAATGGTCCAGGACGGACCGAAACGTCGTCGTCCCTTCACTTTCTAGTGTGTGGTCTGGTCAACATATTTCAGCCACGATATTGTGACTCCTCGTCGCCTGCTTCTGTATTGATTATTTTCTTCCTTTAGGGCTTCTATCCCTCTTGATTGGTGCTCTTGCATCTTTAATTACTTTAAAGAGGATTTTTCCAAATGTCATCTTTGTTTGAGGTAAACTAAAATAATAATTTAACTGTAGAATGTATTACACTAATAAATAGACACCACGTTTCGAACCTATATGGTTCGTTCTCAAGTGATGGGACTGTACTGGGCGTACTCGCCACCAAGTAAAAATACAGCGGAATTACGATGCATTAATTTTGTAATAATATGTCGCTTTTTTAACGGTTTAGTTGTTAAAAATGCGAAGCAGAGTAGGCAAGAGTGCGAACCTACCACGATAAAAAAAACCAGGTTTCTTGAATACACTCTCGGAAGGTGAGCTGGGCATCTAGAGTCGCACCGTGATAAGATAACCCAAGATAACGGACGGGATTACATTGTCAGCAGGAAAACTGCCGGTTCATTGAGGGGCTGCAAGAGTGACTAAGGCATCTACCCCTGCCCCGTTTGGGACGCCTGACAGCTGAGTGGACAGCGCTTCGGATTCGTAGTCCTGAAGTTCCGGGTTCGATCCCCGGTGGAGGCGGAGACAAATGGGCAAAAAGTTTCTTTCACCCTGATGCCTCTTACCTAGCAGTAAATAGGTACCTGGGAGTTAGACAGCTGCTACGGGCTGCTTCCTGGGGATGTGTAACAAAAAGGAGGCCTGGTCGAGGACCGGGCCGCGGGGGCGCTAAACCCCGAAATCATCGCAAGATAATCTCAAGATAGGAGATTGGTGCCAGCATCTCGCTCGCTTCAGTTCTATCTTTATGGAGTGATAGGGTCAGTTCGTACACAAGACGGTTCGAAATGGATTATTTTCAGAGTGTCAGCACCACTAGGGGGGCCTCGTAGCCTGGTGGATAGCGCGCAGGACTCGTAATTCTGTGGCGCGGGTTCGATTCCCGCACGAGGCAGAAACAAATGGGCAAAGTTTCTTTCACCCTGTTACCTAGCAGTAAATAGGTACCTGGGTGTTAGTCAGCTGTCACGGGCTGCTTCCTGGGGGTGGAGGCCTGGTCAAGGACCGGGCCGCGGGGACACTAAAGCCCCGAAATCAACTCAAGATAACCTCAAGATAACCACATATATCGTTAGGTTAGCATGTATTAGCTTGGGTTAGGAGCTTTCTTTTTGTTAGGTTGGTTTGGATTGTTTAAGGTTGGGGGCCAGGATTTTAAACCCAACCTAACCCAACATAGCCTAACAGCCTGGGGCCGAGGTTGGGGAGTAGAAGAACTCCCAGAACCCCATCAACCAGAGCGTAACACAGCCTCGCCATATTCTGTATACTGTCTTGACAATCAGAACACCACTTTTGTTGAAAGGCGTGAGTACGACCAGACCAAACAGAGTGCATAGTCTGTATTTACAAGATTTTTTTTTATCTTGATTTTAAGAAAATACAATATAAATCATATATACATAAGTTTTACAAGACTATACTACATTATAATTCTCAGTGAACAAGTGTTTCATTATCACAGAACATGAGCTTTAAAACCCCTGGATGTTATACTTATTTTTCTTTAAATGATTTACAAAAAATGGAGATTATATTTACATTAATTTACAGGGGGAAATTATTGACTGATGGACAAGTTCGCCAGCGTCATGAGGTGCTGTTGACGCAATGGTGTTAATGGATATTATTTTCATTATTCATTTTCAATATTTGTTTTGTTTGTTGCTAATGGACACTTACATCTGCTGGCCTGTAAACACTGTAAACAATTTATTCTGGTAATTATATGATGCTTTAAGTTCAGATGAATATGCATGTTCATCCCTGTCTAAAACGTTAGCTTCTGAGTCAAATTTATGTCATTACTGTCATTTTGAGATTATATAAACATAAGTGATATTGTTAGTAGTAGTTTGTCCATCTATTTGGAGTGACTGGTAGAGAAACAGCCGCGCTCACTGCAGGTCAGTGTTCGATCCCCCATTGGTCCCCTAGTGGCTAGGCACATTTCCTTCACGTCATTGTGTTATCCCATCGCCTATCCTGCCCATATATATATCCCTTCCATGTGCTATCACTGCGTTATCTTCCTCATAAACACTCCCACCTGGTATTATAAGTAATAATAACAATAATTGGGAGATTAATTTTAATTATCAGGGGGAAAGCGCCAAGCCATTACGACTTTATAGCACTTGAAAGGGATCAGGATTAGGATCTTGGATGAGACGGGGGAGAAGGAATGGTACCCAATGACCTGGACAGTCGGGGATTGAACGCCGACCAGTATGATTCCAGACCGTCGCTCTACCCTCCAGTCAAAGTGGTTGGGTAATAATTGGGAGAGTGCGTATGTAAATGAGGGACTAATGATATATTTTTCTCCATTTCAGAATCCCCACCTCCGCCTTATTCTAGATTCAGCGTCGATCTCCTGAGGCCAGAAGGTGAGTGGCTCAATATAGGTTTTTGTCTTAAGAAATGATGTGTAGGCTTACATATACTTGTAAGTCACAATTACATATACTTGTAAGTCACAATTACATATACTTGTAAGTCACAATTACATATACAGAGGAGTCACAATTACATATACTTGTAAGTCACAATTACATATACAGAGGAGTCACAATAGCGTGGATGAACAATGGTGATCCACGTTGGATCGTGGCACTCCGCACAAAAATCACAATAGCGTGATGCATTAGGGTTCGAACCTACGTCCGAGAGCATCCCAGACGCTGCCTCAATCGACTGAGCTACGACATGGTCAAAAGAACTCCTGGTTGCAATTCTTTTGACCATGTCGCAGCTCAGTCGATTAAGGCAGCGTCTGGGATTCTCTCGGACGTAGGTTCGAACCCTCGTCACGGCCCTTGTGGATTTGTTCATCATTGACAATAGTTCTGTCCGTCACGACTTATAAGGGTCCAGGATGGCCCAATAAGGGTCCAGGATGGCCCAATAAGGGTCCAGGATGGCCCAATAAGGGTCCAGGATGGCCCAATAAGGATCCAGGATGGTCCAATAAGGGTCCAGGATGGCCCAATAAGGGTCCAGGATGGCCCAATAAGGGTCCAGGATGGCCCAATAAGGGTCCAGGATGGCCCAATAAGGGTCCAGGATGGCCCAATAAGGGTCCAGGATGGACCAAAACGTTGTCACTAGTGTGTGTTGGTGTGTTAGAGGGGGGGGGGGGGTGTCTAGGACACTGATGATCAACCACGTTGTTGTGGCTTGTTCTTTGCATACTTGTCATAGGTAAAGATAGCTGGCATAATAACAATGTGTAAGAGACTTGGACTATCAGTAACTGTTTAAAACAAATGCTATTCAACAACAGTTAATACTGCAGTCTAATTTAAAACAGATATAAAAAAAAAATATTGAACCCAATGGGGAAAAATCTTTGGAGCAGTGCAATGGAAGTGACGTCTCATCCTCAAGATGGTTGTCTTACCCACTAGACCTCAATAAGCTTAAGAAACTATATAATCTCAAGGGCCACCAGGATCTAAAAGAGATCTGAGGCACCATGGCAATACTCCAAAGACTTTCTCACTCTCTTGGATATATCACGTTATTGTTTGTGACTTGTAAGAGAAGGCGGTGATGGTGAAGATGTGTGTCTTAACTACTCCTGTCTTGGGGGTCCAGATGCGGCGCCGAGCGAAGAGGTGGACTGTTTGGTGGAATCACAAGAGACGGGAGGCTCACATCAGTACACCTACTCCACACATGGGACTGGTAAGTGACACTTCTCTTCCATCAACTGTTCCGTCTACTATTCCATCTACCATCACCACCCGTAACTGTCTTCCAGGTTCAACCCCACTAACAGGCTGTCTCAAATCATCCCGGCTACCATTGCTCAATGCAAATTTGATTCATCATTGTAGTCAACTTTCATCACTCGACCAAAGATCGCGCGAAATTATCTTCGCGACTTGGCGCCTCTTTTGACAGGTACTTGCTTGTATTAGCCGAGTTCACTGTACTAATCAACGGTCTTGGCGTGAAGTTGATTGAAACGAAAAAGGTTTCAGGTGGATGGAGAATGCGTCAAGGGGGCTGCAGCTAGTATAGAGATCTGCAGCTAGGATAGGGGTCTACGTCAGGGGCTGCAGCTAGGATAGAGATCTGAAGCTAGGATAGGGGTCTACGTCAGGGGCTGCAGCTAGGATAGAGATCTACGTCAGGGGGCTGCAGCTAGGATAGAGATCTACGTCAGGGGGCTGCAGCTAGGATAGAGATCTACGTCAGGGGCTGCAGCTAGGATAGAGATCTACGTCAGGGGGCTGCAGCTAGGATAGGGGTCTACGTCAGGAGCTGCAGCTAGGATAGAGATCTACGTCAGGGGGCTGCAGCTAGGATAGAGATCTACGTCAGGGGGCTGCAGCTAGGATAGGGGTCTACGTCAGGGGGCTGCAGCTAGGATAGGGGTCTACGTCAAGGGCTGCAGTTAGGATAGAGATCTGCAGCTAGGATAGGGGTCTACGTCAAGGGCTGCAGTTAGGATAGAGATCTGCAGCTAGGATAGGGGTCTACGTCAAGGGCTGCAGTTAGGATAGAGATCTACGTCAGGGGGCTGCAGCTAGGATAGGGTTCTACGTCAAGGAACTTCAGTTAGGATAGAGATCTGTATCAGGGGGACAGGGATGAATCCGAGGGAATTTCATAATCAATTTGTTCTTGGCAAGGGTTTAACTCTCTCGTAAATCCGTCTGATAAATGTTCAGTGAACACGTTAAAATGTAATCGTGTCTTACGCACTCTGCGTAGTCTCTGCGTTCAACGTTCCCATTGGTAGACGAGGTAGTACTGGTAGATAGTTCATTCTGAACAGGTACTTCAGAATGTGTGCTTAGGAACTTTCTTCTTTTAGTCAGCGGATAGCAGGGGAAACTTTTTGTGTAATTCTTGTGTATGCTTCTATTGTGTTTAAGGAATTCGAAATTTGCGGATAAAATGTCGCAATAACAAGTTATCTTGAGGTTATCTTGATGATTTCGGGGCTTTAGTGTCCCCGCAGCCCGGTCCTCGACCAGGCCTCCACCCCCAGGAAGCAGCCCGTGACAGCTGACTAACACCCAGGTACCTATTTTACTGCTAGGTAACAGGGGCATAGGGTGAAAGAAACTCTGCCCATTGTTTCTCGCTGACGTCCGGGATCGAGCCCGGGACCACAGGATCACAAATCCAGGGTGCTGTCCGCTCGGCCGACCGGCTCCCCAAGTTAGAATCCACAAATAGAAATGTTTTGTATTTTGAATTATATATTATATGTATAGTAATAAATAAAGAGGCATTTGTTGAACCTTTGTCAAATGTTGGGAATTTTTTCCTTGGGACAATTTAATTAGTGTAATTCATTACGTACAATTCCCCCGAGCACTGAAGACTGGCGGGAATTGGCCGCTATACGAAGGAGGCCTGGTCGAGGACCGGGCCGCGGGGACGCTAAGCCCCGAAATCACCTCAAGATAACCTCAAGATAACTACACGACATAAAGACGTTGACATATCTTAGCAACGGACCGTTCGAGAACAGTTGAGCCGCAGAGGTCTTCCCGCCACCCTAAAAATGGGTTGGGGGGTAGGGGAGGGGAGGGGGGGGCAGGGGGTGTGCCCTCTGGGTCAACCTCGTAACACACTAGCATACTACGACTTAACTAGGAGGGGGGGTGGGGGTGCGTAGAAGCGTCCTTGACCATCGAAGTGGCTGAGAGCCCGCGAAGACAATAGAGGGCAGAGGGGGGGGGGGGTGTTAAGGGGGGAGATTGTTCAGAAGCACTAAGATAATTACTTCGCTAGGCCTATTTTATTTTTATTTTTTTATTATTCGTAACTACGGTTTTGCCCCATATTCCAACGATGTCGGTTTCTTCCATATCGCGGGTAGATAAGACTTGGTGGGTAGGTTGTGGTGGGGGGGGGGGTAGTAGAGATCTCCATGGCGCGGGCGCGCGCGCATCATCTGAACGAACACTTTCAGATATCATCGTTCCCGCCCACTTCGTGAGCATTTTGGATATTGTTTCAACTATCTTTTTTTTTATCTGGCTTTTAAACGTCAGAAAGTAATTTGGAATTTGTCTCCTCGCCTTCTTGCACTTCGCCTGTAACCTTCAAGAGACAACGCCTCGTGTCTGCAAACGTCATTTGGTGGCTAACATCTGGGAAGGAATCTTAATTGTGGTAAATGGTTGTGTTAGACGGTGAGAGAGACGGGCGTCGGGGAGTCTGGCCACCCCACACACATGCCCCAAGTCACATACACCAAAATACGCTTCCTCTGTCTTGACGTTATTGCCCAATGCACCTTAATCCATTGCGGCTTGAGGAGTTGGACGAGGAGGGGACGAGGACCAGGAGGAGGAGGAGGATGAATGGCCCTTGAGTTCGCTGGTGCAAGAACCCCTTCCTGGCTTGCCCTTGACTCGCATCTTATCATTAGTACGGTTGGGTCGTGACCACCGTAGCCAGCTAAACGTCAACATGGCATATCTCGTTTATGATGCCTGTGAACACTTTTGTGTAGATGTAAACAGTGTTTGGCTTGTTTATAACTAGCGCTTGTCTTACTGATGCCAGCTTTTAGCTGCATTTGTTTTGCTTATACTGTATATGGCGCCTATTCTTGGCAGTTGCAAACCTGGGCGAGTATCTATCGTGTTCTTAGAAAACCTATACGGCTTTGTTCAGTTATAGAGCGTTTGTGAATTTTCAAAGTTCGTACACTGATTGATAAATGTAAACAAAGCCGCCGTCAGTAAGGACAAATGTAAAGGTTTCGTAAATGGACACGGTAAATGGTGGCCCTGTGGCCTTTGGGGATTAGTGAGATTATCATAATAGGTCTGAAGTAATGGTACTAGTGAAGTAATGGTACTAGTAAAGTAATGGTACTAGTGAAGTAATGGTACTAGTGAAGTAATGGTACTAGAGGTGGTAGCCCACTTGTGTTAGTTAATTTGTCCTGCTCAAGTGGCTAATTTGGGCAAAGGATCTGCTTGCCTTCTCAGAACACTTGGGTGCGTCGTTAGTCCTCTCCTTTGGGTACATCGTTAGCCCAGCTCCCCCCACCCCCCTCCCTCCTCTGGGGAAGCTATTGCTATCTTGGTGGGTGATTAGAGATGTGAGCAGCCGTGGTGCTCGTCTCCCACCTCACCAATTATTATTAACATTTTTATTGACAAAATTAATTACAATTTTGCCTAATCTGAGGATTTTGATAGGTCTTATTAAAGTGAGGATAATGCTAGTATTCACTGTCACGCAGGACAGAGGGTCATACATAAGACAATAGGTCTAAACTGTAGACTGAAGCACATATATATCATTGTTACAATCAATGTTTTAATGTATGGATACGTGAAAACAACTTTCTATTGTGCACTGCCACACAAGGGCAGGGATGAGTTCATAAGTGATACAGCTTAGAAGTATTATAAATAAAAATTGTTCTTCATTCTTTAAAATGGACAAGCAAATTTTGGGTAAATTGTTAGGATGTCGTCCAGAACACCTGAGTCAATAAAATAGTTACACAGTTGGTGGTACAATAGGCCAGGAGGTCTAAAGTCCTTTACGGTTTCACATTCATCAATATAGTGTTCTAGTGAATGCATTAAAGGTTTATCACAGAGTTTACAATCTGAATATTCTGGTAGTGGCTCAGCCTCACTAACCTGCCAGATGTGTCTATAGCCAAGGGGAATTCGCGCAATGACTACATCACATTGCCTGGTCCGGTTACTGTGCTGACCATACAAATACCTATTATTACAAAACTTGTCATAACTTTTAATACTGCAGCTTTCAGGTCTCTGGGCATTTCTTAGTTCTTCTAAATCTGAATTAATTTCTTTAATTTGTATGTTTCTAATAACTGCATTAGATAGTGCAAAGTCATAATCAATGTTTTCTTTCCTGCAAGCCTCATTGGCCAATTGATCTACAAAGTCATGTTTTCCAATAGCTGAAAACAGTCGTGAGACGCCACCCCCGTTCACGTCTCTAGAAGAAAATAAATGTCTTCTGATGGGCAGATTAAGTGACAGAAAGTTTGTGGCAGAAGACGAACTCGTCAGTCGTTACCTTCTGGGTACTAGTACTGTACTAGTACTGTACTAGTACTGTACCAGTACTGTACCAGTACTGTACCAGTACTGTACCAGTACTGCACTAGTACTGTACTAGTACTGTATTATCCCTCTCCCCCCCTTGCCATCCCACCAGGACCACGTGGGTAAAGTTAGTAAGTGGAATGCACCAGGAAGTGATGTGGTGGAGGCTGACTCCATACGCTGAGCCCAGTAGGCTCAGGAATCTGTACACCAGTAGATTGACGGTTGAGAGGCGGGACCAAAGAGCCAAAGCTCAACCCCCGCAAGCACAACTAGGTGAGTACGTGTGGGGAGGTGGTGGGGTGTCTGGGGTGGGGGGGGGGGCGTTTGCCTGCCTTGTTACTGGCCGTCGCGAAGGAACAAGCTAAATAATCCTTTATCTTCAGCTTACTTAAGACTTCTCCCTCACCATACCCCTCATTCCATCACCCCCCGCTCTCCCTTCCTCCCCCTACCTTCCTCCCTACCTTCTCCCCTACCTTCCCCTCCCCCTCCCCTCTCCCTCCCCAGAGCAAGCTTCGTGTTGCATTAGCCGTTGTGAGAAGAAACACAAAAATCCCGTGTTCCTTTTTGTATTTTTTGAACTGGTAGGAATGTTGTGTATTTACTATTTGTGTC